ATGATCCGGGTAAATGTTCCATCTCCTGTGAAAATAACCCCAGGCTGCACATCAGTCTCAGTAGCTAAGTGCCAGTTCCCCTTTCCTCTGAATCACTGAGCTTTCCACATTGAGCTTATAGTCAGTCCCATGCTCATCTGGGATTAAAAAAAAACGTCTGGTAAACCATGATAATACATCCCTGGTAAACCTACAGGTGTTATTTAGAAGAAGTCAGTCTTTTGGACGGCACAATGGGGTAGAGGAACAAACACACAATGCAAACACAGTGCTGGACTCAGGGGTCCAGTTTTTGACAATCAGAGCATGAAATTGGTTAGTAATTTACCCAGTGAACGGAGGCACAGCCTAAACTCATCCTTACTATAGGAGGAGAAGGAGCCTCCTCTGCAAAAATTCACAGAGGTGTGAGTTAGCTGTGTGTTAGGGGTGTGAGGGGTAAGCCCTGACAACTGCATTGCTTGGGAAGTATTGTTAATAACGAAAAGACATGTCCCTTAACAGCATGGTTCTGGAATGCCCGCAGATGGGGAGTTATTCAATATCTTAGCACACTGATAGGAAGTGTGTAAGAATCACACAATTGTTTCCAATTACCTGGCATGTGTTGTGTGTTCTGCTTTTCCCCCAAATCTCTCTCTGTGTCTCTCTTTCACCACATGTACTTTTCAGGTGTAAAATTATCCCCCCCATCTGAATTGTCTCAGTGCACTGCATTTCCATGTAATGAGGGAAACTTTCAATGTTGAGTACAGAAAGGAGTGCATTGTTAAAGTCATCCGGAAACCAGTCCACAGCTGAGATATTATCTGGAAATGATAAGGTTTGGGTTTTTAAACTTCTTAACTGCTCGGGCAATTACATGGTGCATTTCAATCGGTTCATTCTAGGTTAAGTCTGCCTGAGGACTGCTAATTATAAAGTCTCATGTTCTCACATTTTCAATTTGACTTTTTAGCGAACAAACGCAAAACGCATTTGGCCATCACGGCCTTTAAATTTGAAAAACGATGGCTGAAATGAATTAAGAAAAACAAAAATGACAACTCGTCATTGAGATTTCAGACTCAAATGTCAGGAAAAAATGTGGTGACCATTTTTGTATAGTGATTTGAGACTCATGTTGCACTACACACTGATAGATGCAGGGATTATTGTTTTATTACTACTTTGTTTCATTACTGTAATTAGCTTTTTCTTCTTAATTAAAGCAGTGTTGTCTGGGCATGGTAATGCTGTATGTTCAGAAAGCCAGCACCCTTGTTCTACATACAAATCCCATAACTACATTTCACCAGATTTAACCACACTCCCAATTGATTTTAAGATTTTGCTGCCTACTTACACAACTCTGAAACGTAAGGCTATTTGCATTATTCTTCTGTTCTAATCTCATATTCTAAGATGCATGATACATTCTCTTGAAGCTAGATTGAACATTATGTGCAACAGGGACTCGTGTTTTTATGCAATAATGCTTTAACCAAGCTTATTTGAGATTCATCGGAGACTTATTCAGTTAATGAATACTCACCCAACTGAGTAACCCAGCAATCCTGTAGTTTGCTCCTTTTTTTCTTTTTAAGCTATGATGAACTTGACTGGTGTGGTTCTAAATTCCAAAACAACAAAATGCTTTTGTTGTCTTTAGAAATCAGTGTAAAAGCCCGCTTACACAATGTGTGAACTTCTGCTTTAGTTTAACGTCTCTTACGCGTTTCCAAGACAGTAAAAGTCATGCCAGAAACACCGTTTTATTCAAGTGAGATGAAGTTATTTTGACTTCACCTTCTTTTAAAAATACGTTTTTGTGAGTGTGCCCCGTATCACCCACCACAGAGCTTAGGTGAGGTAATTAGAAAAATTATATTACTCTGGATAAGCATAAGTAAGGCATGAAATCACTAATTGTTATCATATGATGAACATTGTCATGACTCTCACCAAACTGAACATTGATGGATTTTGAGCGTAGCTTGACCCAGCTATATAAATATATAAAATATACTACATTTAGCACCATGAAACTCATATGACCTTCCAAACTTGCTCCATACAGTGCGTGTAAGATGTGTATAGCCATTTACTCAGAGCAGTACAAATATACAGAAGTGAGTTCTTGTTATGACATGGGACTGAGCTGGAAAGTGCTATGTCACTGAAGGCAAATGGAGAGGTTAGAGCTACAGCACTGCGCTGGCAGACAGGAGACAGAAAAATCCTGGGAATGACTGTGCTGGCAGACAGGAGACAGACGAGACGGGGAATGTGCAGTCCAGCCGAGCTGAATAGGACAGGAAAGGCATGGAATAGCCGTGCAGAGCAGATGGGGAAGTGGCACAGTCCCACAGGTTTGGCTGGTCGCTGTGAGGCGTAGCGATTATAGGGCAGACTGGGATCCAGCTGGCCTACGTGCTTCCGTCTTGAGATGGGGCCTGGGTAGTCAGGCCGATTTCTTGTCATTCCGATGGGCTGGTTAGCGCAAGGAGCACTTTCCTAAACCAGCAGGAAGCTCAATGACAGAGCGACTAACCGTGGACAGGGCTGTGTTTAAGTAACCTGGAGCTGAACAGGTATTTACCCGTTAAGTGGGGGCAGGTGGCAAGGACAGCCACCCCAATCGAGTTCTCATGGCATCAGGAGGAGTCTGGCTCTGTGTGCGAACTCTGCCAGTTGTTGTGGGCATAACAGTTATTCAGTGAAATTGCGCTGGAGCCCAAAAAAAATATTTGCTCATGTTCTTCAGATTGCTACGCTGACCAACATCCTTAAGAAGTACTTCGAGCTAAAGACTCATATGTGTCTCGCAAATTAGCCAGGCCACGTGGAGAGTCGCATGTGAGGAAAAATCTCTTTTGTTTTGTGTGCCACTTTCGTAAAATGCAAATTAAGACAGCAGGCGCTCAGAAAAAATGCTGATGAGAGTACGTGCTGATTTTTCCAGGCCTGGAAAAATTCCTGGCCTCCAGTTTACAGGTGGTGTGGACCCAGAATTGTTCATGCGGTCAGGACAGGTTTTGTGAGCAGATTTACTCATGCAGTGAGCTGGAATTGGGTCTAGGGAGGCAAGTAAAGGTTGATGTGATTGTATTTGCTGCCAATCCAGACTACCTTCTTTTTTGGAGATCTGTTTTGGGATGAGACCTACAGTATATTAGTGAGAAGCATGTTTCTATTTTGCTGGGAACACCTACATCAAAGCATGAAGACGGCTTCGCTCTTTTAACCATAAAAAAAACACACAGCGTCTGCTTTTTTTAAGGGGGTCAGAATTCATGCAAATCATTACAGGCTGTGAGAGAACAGGTTCGAATAGCAGAATGTTCAGCATGATCCAACATTTTGTAAACTGCAGACATCAGCACTGTTCTTCTAGTAATCATTCTTACAGGATCTTAAAGGAGCTCAAATGGTTTACAACACAATATTAGTTGACACACCAAGTTAAGCCATAGGGGTAAAAGTACAGTATGTTTTTAGGTCACAATTCTAAGACCAAATGTATTCATTTTGTCAGCTGTTGCCTCTTCAGAAATTGAACTTTAAAGAATTAAACCTTCAATTTAAATGTAAAATGTAGATCCATTATAGTTTTCAATTAGAGGCAACCTCATACCCTAAATCAAATTCAAAATACTGAGATCACTTGTGATTAAGCATGTCATTTAATAAATTTAAGGAAACACTGGGCTTTCTGGTCTTAATTTAATAAATTAAGGAAACTTGAGGGCAGAAAGAGATTTAGATTTTTGTTCCAAATGATCTTGAAATTAATTTTACCAATCACTTCCTTAAGAAATCCAACAATCCAATAAAATACCAAGCATTACCTATACCGTCTGTAAGACTGAGCCTCCCCAATACCAGGATTGGAGACTCGAAGGACTTCCTTCCAGGACTGGAGGCTGGAAGAACCATCTGTTGAAGAGTTGTTCGCTCAAGCAATCCGATTTCACTCGCGTGTAAGACACACATTCACTTTTTGAAAAGGAAGAATAAACAGTGTATTTATGCTTCCAATAAAAGTCATATACCACATGTACTGAACAGTAAACGTGTTACAATACATACTGAGAGACAATAAAAATGCAAAAAAGGCTGCTGGCTCCAATGTTCATTTATTGTTTTTTGTTTCAGTACTCAGTTTTCCTTTTATTTTCACTGATTAACTGCTCAACAAATCCCAGTTTGCTTTTTATGCATGGTATAAAAACAGAAACCTACAACAAATCTGTTGCATGTTTTTTAAGAAACATTTTTTTCTGTTTTTCCATTATCACCATAAACAAACTGAAACAAATACACACGACAGATGAGTATGTTTCAACGGATCTTGACCAGACTGGCTGGCTTTTCAAGGAATTCAAGATCAGATTCTGCAGATTAAGTAGTATACATAATACAAGGAGTAACGCAGGGATAAAACCCCAAAAATGAAGGCAACCGCAATTTCATGCTTCGGTGAAAGCTAGTTTTATAGACCTTTATTATTTAAGGGTTTAGTCTCAAATCAATCCGACAAATATAACTGAAATAAGGCAAAATAAAAAACAATCTATAAGCAAATTAAATCAATCCATCCATCCATCCATCCGCCCACTCACCAGAAAGCTGTTTATTCCCAGTAAGGGTTACAGCAATCTGAAGCTTATTCAGGAAGCACAGGATGAAAGGCAGGACAAATTAAATCAATAAACTTAATTTATAAAATTTCAAAACTTTTTTCTTAATCTAAAACAAATCAACGTTTTTAGAGGCACGCAAACCAAACAAAAACTTTATTTGACCAAAACCTTCCATAAGAACGGACTGATTTTGTTGCAGAACATGCTTGTTTTTAACTCCCCCTTTAAAATCGGTGCTTCCTTGCTTTGTTGATGAGGTGCACTGCAAAGGCTTATTCTCCCAATTAATTAAAGAAAACAGATTTATTCTGTAGGGCAACTTTATTGAACAGAGAATAAAAGTTTTGAGTACTCTTTTTTTTAAAATGATGCATTTAAATTTACATATGTGTGCTGCCTGAGTACCTGAGCCCAGAAACTAAAACACAAAAGAGAAAGTCTGTTTCAGCTATTTACACCCTTTCCAGAGTAACACATTTACTCTGAAACACAGAGTAACACAGCCTGAAATCAAGACACGTTACATTTCATTTTTAATTAATTTTAAGAAAGTTTGAGCATTTGTTTTTCACTTTGAGGCTGTGCGTTTCAATGTTTAAATAAAGGTAAAATACATTCTGATTTAATATGCCTTGATAACAAGCTGTGAGGTCACAAAATGTTTGTTTGGAAAGGGTGTGTAGACTTTCTATAGCCCTGGACATTGCTCTTGATTTATATACATTAATACAGTATAAGAATATACAACATCCATCTTGTTTTGTTTCTTTTTAATGCTTTGGATGAGAGTTCTGTAGCATTAAAAGTGCATTCTTCATTGCTCCTTTTTAAGAGAAACAAAAATAATCACGCTTCAGTTAGGAGCAGGTGATACATGAAGAACATAGTATTAATGTGTAAATTCAGGTGTCACCATATATAGTAAATAAGAAATTAATGAAAGAAAAGAAATACAGTTGTCAAGACGGTAACAAAGCAATTTGAAAGTCAAACATTTTATTTTTCCATGGGAATATTAATCTCAGATCATTTTGCTTCACACGTTTCCACATTTAAATAGGGTGTATTTCATATAAAACTACAGGTAGTGGATAGAAAAATGGAAATACCAAAGTAAAGTCACTTGACAGGGCAACCTGTGAAACCAGTATGTCCCAAGTCCCACTCCTGCAGTATGTGCTGTGGCATAGAGTACTTCTGTAATTCTGCAGGAGGGATACAGCACCATTCTTCCACAAGAACATCAATCAGTTGATGGAGGTAGAAAAGTTCCTGATTGCCTGAGATGATAACATCTGCATCACGTTCATCAAACTTCTGGGCGACTACGTGTGCTCCCTGGAAGGGAAAGACCCCCCCCCGCTGGAAAGAGCTGGGATTAAGGAGATCACTCAGTACTATTAGGCACTGCAATAAGCATTGGAAACAGGCCTGTGAAAGGAACTGGGCGCAACCAAACCATATCAGAAAAATGCACCCCAGAGCATTGCAGAACGACAGGAACCCTTCACTACTGGAAACAAGGCCTCTGTAGAGTTCCTAAGCTTGGCCCCACTCGTGCAGTAGACCATTTGTTGAGAATATTGTGATTGATTAACATCACATTTCTCCACTGTCTGGTAATCCCATGCTTGTAGTCTTTGCAGCATTGGACTGTGTATTGCCAGGTTTATGAGTGGTTTGTTCTCCTCTTCCAGCCAAGCTAGTCATTCTCATAGACAACCAGACCTGTCCAGTATTTTGTTTGTTATTCAAGCAGGTATTCAAGCTACTTGCTTGAATAAAGTATGAATGAGCCACAGCTGAGTGAGCTGAGCTTTTAAATATACTTGGTGTCACTCATTTGCCCAGATGCTTCCATTTTTTGGTCCAATACCTGTAGATCCTCACCTGCTCAAAAGAGATTTCACCTGAATTAGTTCCACTGGGGAGCAGGTCTGTTGCCTTGTCCCCAACAGAGTTGTGTGCTGTTTCGTCCTGCTTGTGTACAGTACAGGAATGTCCTCAGACTGACTGCAGGCTGTCAGGTCTTCATCAGTCGCTCAAAGCTGATCAAGTATCAGGATTGAGTATCTCCTTCTTTGGAACATTTACAGTAACAACAAAATAAGCGGTAGATAACATTTGTCCCTACTCTTACACCAAACATTTGCTTAAACATTCAAAAGGCTTACCAACTCTTCGTATTAAATAAGTAATAAAGAAAGTAATTTTGGAGATGGTAAGACAGATTGACCTTTGGGTTTGACCCCTCCTGTCACATGGCCTCCTTAATTAGCGTTGACAGCCTCTGGAAAGCCTGAAAAAAATATTGTTTAATCAGTTTCAGAGAAAAAGCCCTAGTTATTGTTTCTTCATCTGCTAATTTCTAGCATGAAATTGCTAGCAAAAAGGAAGTACATACTTTGCAAAGAGTTCATTTGTTTTTTTTGCCCGTATTAAAATGGTTTTCCCTCAGTGATATCATGATATCACAAATGTTGTTTTGCACACACCTGTCTTAACTCTATGAACAGGCTTTGTGGGTAAAGCTTGTGGAGGCTGAGGGCTTTGTCTTTGTGTTCTGCAGTTGTCTGTTTGGCAAGGGCTGAGTCATCAGAACATACTGTACATCATCAATGAGGGGAAAAAAGAAACCTGTTTGCTTTTATTCAGCCTGCGTATTTTTTAAATCTTTCTAAAACACTGCCACCTCCCGCTTTATACTGCTGTATCTTGCTGCCCACATTTTTGTGGAAATCTACTAAGCACGAACACTTGCCCCTTTGCTCTGGGACTGGAAAAAGAAAAAGACAACTGTACCAGGTCAATCTGCTCTGGAGAGGACTGGGAGAAGGCTGCTCTCACATAGGGACAGGGCTCAGAACTGTTTATATTGAAAACTCCTCCAGGGACGAGCAGCACCTACACAAAAGAAAAGAGTAATGTACTGTACAGTACAAGCTACTGGTGAATAGAGGTTTGCATTCGTTTTCAATGCGGTACACTGAGGCTACCCGTGACTAAGAATAGGAAAGGTTACATATTAACTATTAACTTGTCATACTAGCAACCAAAATGAGCACTTGTTACAGGAGTTTGGGCTTTTGGGTTTGGGTTTGGGTTTGAGTTTCTTCAAGGACCCCAGGCAATCTGCTTTCTCACTCCACTCAAAGCGCTTTACAGGTAATGGGGACTCCCCTCCATCACCACCAATGTGCAGCCCCACCTGGATGATGCGACGGCAGCCATAGTGGGCCAGAATGCTCACCACACATCAGCTATCAGTGGGGAGGAGACCAGAGTAATGTAGCCAATTCATAGAGGGAGTTTATTAGGAGGCCATGATTAGTAAGGGCCAATGGGAAATTTGGCCAGGATGCCGTGGTTACACCCCTACTCTTTTCGAGAAACGCCCTGGGATTTTTAATGACCACAGAGAGTCAGGACCTCGGTTTTATGTCTCATCCGAAGGATGGCGCCCATTTACAGTATAGTGTCCCCGTCTCTATAGTGGGGCTTTAGGACCCACATGGACTGCAGGGTGAGCGCCCCCTGCTGGCCCCACTAACACCTCTTCCAGCAGCAACCTTAGTTTTTCCCAGGAGGTCTCCCATCCAGGTATTGACCAGGCTCACGCCTGTTTAGCTTCAGTGGGCTGCCAGTTGTGAGTTGCAGGGTGATACAGCTGCTGGCGAGATCATTTATTCATTAAGACTGAACTTGAATTTATTCTTTCCCTTTGATGGCTGTTCCTCACTCCATTCTATAAATTCTATAAAATGGAGTTCTTTGAAAATCTCACCGAGAATGCAAATAGCTGTGAAAAACACCCTCTTAGATTTCTGAAAGGCAATTAAAAAAATTGAAAAAACTGATAGGCTTTGTGCTAGCGTGACCCTTATTTGGAGTAAGTGGCTTCCTGACGATGCATGGACTTTCATTTGATAGTGCAAATTAAGTTATCTTTAGTATTTTTGAATGAAAAGAGAGAAGTAAACATTACACTGGAAGGAACACAATGTTTATAAAGTATTAGGACAATGAAACCTATGCATATTATATTACAGGAAAGTATTTACCACTTCTTATTACATATGCAGAACTGAAGAAACCACTCTTTTCAAATAATCTTCTAATCTGCACCATTTATTTAAATTTTAAATCATGCTGCTGGCATCTGAGCAGTCTCTTCCTTTTTGAATAAATCAGCTTTCCACAATTCAGTTCTGCAAATTGACAAACATGAACGAAGACCAGAGGATCAAAGGGCATTTGGTTGTTTGTCAGAAGATGTGACAGTGCAGCTCATTTAAATTCAAGTTTGATCTCAAAAACGGTATAAATGAAATATTAATATCCTGAAATCTATTATTTACAAGCGGAGAGATTTTATTTTTATTTCAAAAGAAGTGGGAAGGAGATTTTAATTGAATCAAACAGGAAAGAAAGTATGTTTGAGAAACAGACTTTGTTCAACTATGACATATTGATATGGAAAAGTAAGCGCTGCCTCATATTACTGGATTAAAATATCGTCTCATTCTTAATTAGAAAACACATATTCCACTGCCAGAACAAATTAAGATGAGAAATTTCTTCCAAGAAGAATAAATAACCTGAACAGCTCAAAAGTGGATTTCATTAGTGGGTTTGTTTCAGGATACTCATAATCTGCCGCTCATCAGTTATTCTGAAACCCTTGTGGACTTGAAAGACATGGATTTACTGCAATACTCCTTAATGCAGCTGCTAGCTGCACACCAGCAAAATAGGCTTCAGTCACCAATAAGATGTGAATTATGGCAATTCAACTCAACCACCTAATCCACTAAGAGAACATCAAGGGACAGAAGAGACGTCTATTATGCTCAATTTAAAGGCCTCCTGCAACAGCAGAATTCAGCACTTTCCAGAGAACAAGGTAACATCACATTCTGTAACAGGCTCAGTGCCTGCTGAGCTTTGTAGCTCACAGCAAACATTAACTTGAAAATAAGTCACAAAGAGTCCAAATAACCTACAACCATGTATATCACAGTAGTTGCATGAAAGTCATTAGCATTAAAAATGTGTGTCAGAATGCTACTAATTTAATCTCTTTTCTGACAATATGAAATACGCTTGTGCGCCAAAGTGCAGCTACAATTATAGCGCTCGATGTGCTTTGTGTAAAAGGTAAAAATGAACTAACCACAAGGCAACTCTTTAAACACACTCAGGAGTTCAAAGTTCTGTGTTGACCAAGCCTTGATTTAATTGTCAGATCTAATCACGTATTTAGTAAAAGGGTTACTTTAAAGGAAAATGGTCAGATCCCAGAACCTTTCATTTGGTGACCTCTCAAACAATATATACACAATAATCAATTGAATGGTTTTGTAAAACTTAACATCTTAATTTCTAACAGCTCCTTCACAGGCAAGCAAATGTCATTCACTGAGTAACATACAGCCGTGATGCAAAATGAATGCCAATTTCTACTGAATTTTAAGGTATTATTTTTCAGAAAGATTTCTACATGTACAAAATGAATAAAAAGTGTTTTATATACACTATTCCTATACCAAACCCTTCCAACTTAATACATAAACAGCATATTACTGATCTGATTAATTTATCTATATCTGATATTATAGTGCCAATGGCACGGTCATGTGAAAACTATACACAAGCCAACTTATCCAGATCCCAGATGCTTCTATTAAAGTTTACTAGTTGGCATTAATGCAAAAAAGTATTAATCCGGCTCACCACCTAAAAAGTTCCCAAGTGTCTTGCAAGATAACTAATGAAGAATTGTCTTCAGCAATCCAATTATTCATGGTAAAGACAGACTTTTGTTAATTTCTTCTGGACAACAGGGAATTTCAATTGTAACTACATGCTAACGAAATTCAGTGAAAGTGATGTGGAGCTTTCTACGGGTGTCTGTTAATGGTTATGTTATGATTCAACAGGGTACAAGAGTTTACCTCCTTTTCTAAAGCTTTCTCCGTGATAAGCCTCTGCGTGTCTGTGATTTCTTTTAGCTTGATCCAGAGAAACATGCCGGCCGCAGGGGCGTGCCACTCTGCTACACCTGCGGAGCAGACAGGAGGTCAGGCTGGCTTGACAGTTCAGTAAAGCTGTGCTTTAACAGAAGCACATGTTGGCCATTGGCTATTTCTTCCCACCCCCCAGGCTGTGGAGGGAAACAGTAGGAATCGGCCTTCAGCAGAGTATATCCCGTTACCTAATGCTAATCTTAAAACAATGATAATAAATAACAGAAACGTTCCTTCAGCCTGTCAGTGTAGGGCATGCCCTTAAGCCTGGGAATCTATCTGGGTGTTCTGTACACAATATTCTGAATGATATTTCACTAGTACACTGGTAGACGTGTAGTGAATACATTGTTTTCCTGCAATGACAGGAAATTAAAATGAACTCTTTGTAACCTCAGCAGGCTGCTTTTATCATTATTTTTTCTTCCAACTCCATCATTCTTCCACACAGCATGAAGTTACAGATTTTCCTCATGGTTTTTGAAAGAACATGAAGTCTTCAGAGAGAGCATTACAGTTTGTTACAGACCCTTAACAACACAATTTAGGGTGACCCATGGTGCAATTAATTACAGCTTTCCATTAAGAAAATGAACGGCAATATACAGTAGTCCCCAATGCTATCTTAAGTCTTTTGGATTGGAAAACGATCCAATCTAAATTTCACAAGTGTTCACACTTATGTTCGACACACTTTTGCTTATATTTACATGTAGGAAAAGAACGTGAAAATGTCTTATGATAGAAGTAACTGCTCTGCTAACACGTTGACATTTTTTTTTGTTTTAAAACAGTACCAACCTTTGAGCCACTTGTCTGCAGAACCAAGCATGGCATCACGCTGTTTTCTGTAAAACTCCACCACACTGCAAGTAAAGGTATCACAGTAAAAACTGCAGGAGCTGGGGGTTTGTGTAGAGGCACACACCTCTTCAAAGAACTGCCTAGAAATTACTGGCCCATGAGGCACTGAGAAGCCACAATCACCACTGTCTCATGAAAACCTGCTTTCCATTGGTAAAATGCAGATCTAAGAAACGTTTAAAATGACAGAAAATACCTTACCTCATGGAAATTAAGGATGCATTACCTACATCCTTCAAAATAGAAAATCTAGCACCATACTGCTTAAAAAAAGTAACTGTCAAAGAGGTCTGTTACTTTAAAACAGAGTTCACTGGGCTGGGCACAATTCCAAAGAGAAGACTCTAAAGGTAAAATAAATAAGTTTAAAAAGCTTCATCCACTGGAGTATTTGAACAATACCATGCTAAAATAAAAAGTATTTAATATTTTAGGCAGTATGTTTATTAATTCCTTTGTACTGCCAATGGCTCCTGTTGGAATATTTTTTAAACCCTCTTTTAATTAACAGAAACATAAGATAGGTTACAAAAATGGATGCCATTCAGACCATCTTGCTTGATCTAAGGATCTTACCTAGATATTTCTTGAATGAAACCCTTGAGTCTGCATCACCAAAGCTGGCTAGCACACTGCAGGCATCCAGAAGACAGTCTTACATTTTAATCTTTAACACACAATCTCTTAAGGTCTCCAAGTTTCCACACTTGTTTCACTATTGGTTCTGAACTAGTGCCATGACCTGAGTTTGTGAATGCCTTTCAGGGTCTTAAGGTGATCTCAAAGCCCAAACGGAGGATGTTTGTAAGACGTTCTAGGGCAGTGTGGCCTACAGCATTCTGACCTCCCACCCCTTACCTGTCAATGTGTTTGAGGAACCCTTCCTGTCCCCATCCCTGCAGCAGCTGTGAGACCATGAGCTGTAAAAGGGAGAAGGAGAAAGATCGGCGAGATGATACGATGGGTTAAGCGCCTCCAGGCAAAGATTAACTGAAGATCAACTGACTGCAAAATTTCAGACTAGGGTGGCGGGCAGCCAGTTTCATCAATCTACCGAGAGCTCAGCAGGGCAGGATACCGTAGCCAGGTGGCAGTGCGTAAACCTCTCATCACACCGGGAACGCACGCTTCAGAGTCCAGCGGTGCAAAGAACACCAACGAGTGGACAACCCGGGGAGAAGGGGACAAGTTCTGAGGAGGGATTAGGGGACTTGCCTGTGTGAAGGTGCTGGTGTGCATCGTAGAGGCCTGTATGTGGAGAACGACCCTGTCAATGAGCGGCTTCGGCCCAGTCACAAATCCCACCCTCAGCCTGCAAAGCAGAGAGACAAGCGGGCGAATGTTACTACGTGTGCCGTAATGCAGAAACTGGGAGTGCAGAAAAGAGAGGGATCTTTTTTACTTTTTGTATGTGTAATAGGGTAAGGCTGGTCCACATAGAGGCAGTTTGAACAAAGCTGTGGTCGATTAATTGGCATTAAAAGTGCCTGGATATGTTCATTTACCCGATGAAATGGAATACCAGTACATCACAATTAAAGAGAAAAGCCCTCCTGAGAATCTGCTTCTGTTCCCAAGGGACTTACAAAAGGGCCGGCAGTAGAAGCCAGAGAGGCTGAACGAAGAGTGACTCTCTAACCTGCTGCCTTGGTCCTGAATGGTTCCTCCAAACATTTCCGCTGTGAAAATGATCTGACAATCTCTTCTCTTTCCGGATAAAAGGTCAACTCAAATAACACCTGTTAGGCCTCCGGGCATCAGATAATGATTGGTCTTATGCATCGTGGGCATTTCAGTTCACAGCTCTATTTATATCTTATCTACAAGTTATTAATACGATTTTGATTTTATAATGGGCACTGACATTTAAGATGCATTTTAAAGAAATACTTTATTTACAGAATGCTTTGGTTTGTCTTTCATTTGAGACAAAAGCTCAGTGCAGTGTATTCTCACTTTCTTTTTATTCATGCATCTTACAGACCACTTACTGAGGAATCTCAAGAGCTTCATATTCTTTACATTCACACCACTATACAATCACAATACCGTACCAATCAAAACACAAAAACTGTAGCTGACAGTGACATCTGACTTATCAGGGGTTCCTTGCTTTGATCATGGGAGATTGATATAATAATAATAATAATAATAATAATAATAATAATAATTGCTTACACTTATATAGCGCTTTTTTGGACACTCCACTCAAAGCGCTTTACAGGTAATGGGGACCCCCCTCCACCACCACCAATGTGCAGCCCCACCTGGATGATGTGACGGCAGCCATAGTGCGCCAGAACATTCACCACACATCAGCTATTAGTGCGGAGGAGAGCAGAGTAATGTAGTCAATTCATAGAGAGGGATTATTAGGAGGCCATGATTGGCAAGGGCCAATGGGAAATTTGGCCAGGACCCCTACTCTTTTCGAGAAACACTCTGGGATTTTTAATGACCACAGAGAGTCAGGACCTCGGTTTTACGTCTCATCCGAAGGACGGCGCCTGTTTACAGTATAGTGTCCCCGTCACTATACTGGGGCATTAGGACCCACACTCACCCCAGGGTGACCCCCTAACACCTCTTCCAGCAGCAACCTTGGTTTTTCCCAGGAGGTCTCCCATCCAGGTACTGACCAGGCTCACACCCGCTTAGCTTCAGTGGGTTGCCAGTTGTGAGTTGCAGGGTGATATGGCTGCTGGCGTTTAAGTTTAAGATATTAAGTCTAGGACAGGGCTGTCCAATCCTGATCCTGGAGGGCCAGTGTTACTTCAGGTTTTCCAGGTCTCCATAAAACAGCAGCACCTGAAGAGCTGAGAGAATCTCTCATTGGCCCAACAGGTCCAATTAAGCCAGTAACCAGCTGGTTTAGGCTGATAAGAGCTGAATAGGAATGAAACCTGCAGACACAAAGGCTCTCTAATAACAGGACTGAATACCTGTAGTTTAGGGTTTGTTATTTTTTACTAGCATGTGAAGTGTTGTTTTGGTTTTGCATATATATATATTGTATATAGTATGAGGCATTAAAACGCAACAAAAGCAATTGGCCCCGGCCCCGGGCCCCGGTACTCATTTGTTGTGTTTATAATGCAGTCTCTGTATGCAAATCTTCAGCATGAGGTTCATCTGATGAAAATGAGTCACTTCCCCCTGTTCACTTTTATCTCTTTGGAGTGACACTGGCCACAGCGCATCAAAGAGGCTGTAATTTCTCTAATTCTGGAATACCAAACCACAGCTGCTGTGTACTATCTAAAGGAGAGATAAAAAAACAAATCATGACAAAATTGCAATTGTGAGTTATTAAACGATAAAGGTTTTGACAACTTTAAAAATTCATTTTCATTGTCCAATTTTTTAATTGACAAAGGGTGTTTCTGAATGGAGAAAAAACAGAGTGAAATATCCACCCTGTTGACATTTATTCTTTCATTCAAAAGTGTTCAGCTTTAACAATCACTTTCAATTACAACTATTCTGTTTAAAACACCTATAAGTGTGGTTTGGAATTCAAGAAAATGAAGCATCGTTAAAACAGCTGACCCAAATAAAACACTTAAAGACAAACATGTTAGTAAGAAATAAGCAAAAATTCACCACTTTACCAATCCAGAATTACTGGATATTAAGAACTAGTTTGTGGGCAGTAATGATGTTCAATAAATATCTGTTATCATTAGTAGCACCCTTTGTACTTAATATGTTGTGAAAACCTTTAGGTCTTGTGTCTAGCATTCAAATCAAGCAAAATACTGTTTATATAAACAGTATGTCTCTTTGGAAGTTTGATACCATAGTTATCATGAAAATACATGTTCTGTATCTTATTTTTGTCAATACATATACTTGTTGAGTCCATTTCTTATTTTACCATTCACTAATGTTATCGGATGGTCAGTCTGCTCATAGAATATTCGTACCACACAGTATCTGAATACAAAGTGTAAGACGATGTGTGAACGCTAGAACTGGGACAGTTTTCTGTCTAAACCAAGGATTAACACCTCACCTCTTAATGGCCTAAATTAGCTCATCTTACTCCCATTTCTCCGGGAGCTGTTGCCTTAAAGAAACCTGGGAAAGACTGCCCACCCACGCTGGCTCTCTAGGAGCAGGATCACATATCCCTTATTTAAATCTGTATGAGGGACAACCCTTTAAAACTCCTTATAAATATGCCTAAACTAACGGCTCCACACACCCCTAAGTGCAGAACTGCACGGGCAACAGTGTAAGACTTTTCTCTTGAGATTTCGATAAATTTGTTTGGGTTTCCAACCTCCGACTTCACTTTAACAGGGAGACAACCTCCACCTTTCCCTCCACTCCAGAGCGTGCCTCATTCATCTGGCTTCTGAACTGTCTGGAGTTCTCTACTCACCCGGACGACAGGATCTTGGAAAAGGAGTCCGTGCGGAGAACTCGACCGTCCACGTCCATGGACAAAAACGTTGGCGCCCAGGGCTATGGAGGGGGGAAAAGAAAACATCAGTGATGTGAAGACATGCTGGACCTCCTCTTCTCTGCCGGCTGGCTCACTGTCTTTGTCAAACAGCGCAGCTCCTGTTGCGTAGCTGACATACAGTACAAGCGATTAAATAAGTCCCTAGTTGTATTACAACACAGAGACACAAGCTCTGCTCATTTATGCAGCTCCAGCGGGGATATTCAAAGAGTGAACTTTAAACTTATACTTCAAAGAGTGTCAGATTAAACACTTAACATAAATCAGTTAAAGCCCTCTTGCACTTTAAAACAAAATCTGAAAAAGTGCCACACTGTTTACCAAACCCCGTCTACCAACATCTAGAAGCAATTGCTGCCCCCATGTGGTCATGATGAGTAAAAAGGAGTTTGGAAAAAAACCCTTTCTACATGTGCATAATTACCTTTTCAAACTGTAGAAAATAATAGGGATCATCTTCAACGATGAGGAAGTCATAGTCTCTGGCAATCTTTTAAAAGGAAAAGGAAAATAAATCAAAAGAAAAAAAGGCTTGAATTATAACTAATGTATTACTCAGTGTTCAGTATCCATGAATAATTCTAAGTCTGACCTTTTGTTAATTATATAGAACCCATACATTTATAACTATATTGATAACTGGCTCCCATGCTTTGTCGTCTTAATACCACTGTAACCTTTATTCACCTAAAAACACCGGGCTGGTTTCATGAACAGACACACTTGAACCTGCACAACCCTTGAACTGCTCCATCACAACTTCCAGCAATAGCACAGGTCTGCGATACCGAAAAATGCATGAAATTATGTTTTCTTTTCACTCATCTTTTGTGACTAGTAGCTTCTGAATAGGTAAACAGCAGCATTTTAATTGCTGACTGTGCCCTTTGATGTAACTGAATTGAGAGTAATAAGGAGGCAGTGTTAAGTCACTTCTGTGACCATAAAATACAGCTTTGTAGAGTCATCTGGTTCTGTAGAAAATGAATGTTCAATTGTAATGTTCCACTTTTTACAAAACAGCAATCTCCTGCTGTTCTTATTGCTAGGGAATGAGAACCTGATAGATTTCGGTCTTCCGCTCTGTAGTCATCGAAGCCCCAGTGGGGTTGCCCCCATTAGGAATGGTGTAGAGGACTTTGGGAATGGGACTATCCGGCTTCCCGACTTCATCCAGGCTCCACTTGGAAAGAATTTCCTTTAAGGCTTTAGGAATCATGCCACGCTCATCACTTGGGACATTAATGATGTTGCACCCTAATGGCTTCAGCTGTAGAAAAACAAGAGTGAACAATAACCACAGGGTAAGTGATGAGTGCAGCTCAACCTGCCCCTGTCCAGAGGCGATCCTGGTCATTTGAGGGCTCCAGGTACGAAAAGGGCCACTCCAAGACCAAGTCCTCCACCATGTTGGAGTCCTGCACTTTCTACATTTCAAAGGGCGGTAACTCACTCAGCACTGAGCCCTGGTAAATATACAGAGCACAAATACAAAGTATGAGGGTCAGCTTTTAATTAAGAATAAATACTTGCGGTAAGGCCTATTGTACCAACTAACACAATGTCTTTAGTTCTCAGTTAATTACTGCAAATGAAAATATTATCTTATATAATGTAACCTCATAAAATCTTTTCTGAATATTGCCCCTAACATCTGAATCTTGAAAAAAATGGATCACTTCACAAAGTTTCACAAGTCCAAGTGGCAGAGGAGAACTTACAGCAGCCAGTGTCCCAGAGTAAGTAGGAGCATCTAACAAAATATTGTCCCCAGGATTGATAAGCATTTCAAACACCTAGGAGACAAAATAAAATAGGATCTTGCATTAATATTGAGATTTCTTCGTCTTTTTACATGGAACGTATACTAAATGTTTATGCTTGTAAATATTTCACCAATTACTCAATGTCCATGAAGGCATTGACAAAGTCCACCCAGATTTCTTCAGAATGTGCGGTCCTGGTCACTTGGAAACTAGATGAAAATGCTTTTACAACTGAGAAAAGGTGGTAAATGTTTGTCGATAGAGGGGTTTGGAAGTATGGAACAAGCTACTCAGCCAGTTGGTGCAGCCCGTGTCCTGGCTTCTCCCAAGAAAAGGCTGGATGAGGTCCTTGAATAAATTAATGCAGAACTTCCAAATTGGGTAATAGGACTAAATGGCCTCTTCTCATTTGTAACACTTCCTGTGTTCTTCATTGCAAGTGGTGCAGGGAGTCTCAAAAGGCAATATTAAATGTCTTGCCAGACAGGTTTGTCAAAACGGTACACTGGAGCCACACAGCTCACATTAGCAAGAGATAACTTGATTACAAGACCATGCGAGAATACGTGCTGGAAAAGACAATGCAATCTTAAAACTGAACTTGGGTTCCAAGGAATCTTATCTGGGGGTGGTTATCCTAGGAATTAATAGAAAAGATTGTACAGTATGTGACTAATACTCAATTTTCTTTTGACCTGAACTCTGCATGTCACTGTGACTTTATTATGCAAAGCTAAGCAAACCAGAATTGCTGCCATGACAGATCAGATCAAGGCTAAAACAGAACAATTCATATTTGTTGTACACATGCTTCCTTTATTTCCTTTATTTTTATATATGCTGCTGTGAGCTTTTCAGTCTTCGTTTCTTACTTTCAACTTATTGGGAATCATTTTTGTTAAAGTGACGGTAACAAACTGTTAAATTAAAAGGCTGTCTTACCGTAGAGTGAGATTTTATTACAAAATTTGTCATTGTGTTTGGTACACAAGAATAAGATATCCACAACAAATCGGTTATTGTTTTTCTTCAAACTCGTTTTAAATTATTCAAAACCATTTACAGTATATGCTGGGCAACTCCAGCTGATGTTCCAAAAACGTTAAATTACAAAATTATCATTTTCTCTTTTTGTTTTTGTAGTCTAGTGCTTAATCAAGTACTTCTAGAAAATGGTAAGTATGTATTGCCTAAGAGAAAAAATCTTTGAAAATCACATTGACATTTCTTGGAAGACTAACAGAGGTTGTTATGTTCTTGGAATATTACATTTTGGCCCTCTCAGCCTCTTTCCAGAGAAGGGTATGATGGACTTTTTCCTTTAGTACTTATGCTAGGTTACTCTGTCTACTTTGCAAAACTGATCAATGCTTCTAAAAATGTTGCTGGCTATGTCTTCCCTTTCTCCTATTTAAAATGAATGTTTTACATGTTGAAGATGTCAATACAATTATAAGACAATCAGTAATTTCTTGTTGTTGGAAATTTGGCAGTTAGCAGCTAATAGATCAGAGGATCTTATTCAACCATTTCAGTAAAAAAGCCAAGGTATCAGCTTCAACAACATGGTTGGGTAGCTTGTTCCGTACTCTCCGAAACACTGTGTAGAATGCCTCCTGTCTGTCCACCATAAAAGAAAAAAAAATATATTCTAACAAAAATATGGATACTAAATTTAATGGTAATACATTTCTGGGATACTAAAGAATTTCTAACTTTAGGTGTTGCGGTGCCTTTTGGTATTATAGCTAATTGATCATTCATTTGGTACTGTAATTCCACTGTATTGCTGAAACGCCTTTCAGAGAACAAAACCAAAATAGACCATGACTGTTTCTGCCCTGCTACAGATAAACCAACCTCACAGTTACTTTAAACTGTACCTTGCACAGGCCTTCCTGGCTGCCCGTTGTCACACACATTTCCATCTGGCCTCTCTCTGGGCTGTAGCTGACCGTGGGCGGGTTATGGAGGCTTTTCTGAAGGTCCTTCATCCAAGAGAGCAATTCTGGAATCCTGAAGGACATCTTGTAGCTTAACACTTGGGGAAAAAAAACACTCCCAACTGCTTTACAGTTTAAAATAGTTTACAAATATATCAACCTTAAATACATTTTATAGGAATCGAGTTAACTGGAGAGTTAATGGGCCACCTGGGTTGAGCCGGATACTCTCTATACTTGGGTGACCCCAAAACTAAGAAAAAAAACAATACATAGAGCAAAGCTCACCCATAAGAGCCAGAGTACTGCAGGGCTCTCTTCATGATGCCCTCATCAAACACAATGTGGCCCCCATTCTTCAGCGTGATGGTGGCGGTTTTAAAGGGGAACGTGTCTGGATTGGGAGCCCCCCCTGCTAGTGAGATCAGAGAGGGTGGGGACTTCTGTTGTAGCTCAGCTATAAAGGAATGTAAACACACAAGAGGGCATGAAGAAATCAAACTGAACCTATGAAAAAAATAATTCAACATATACTGTATATATATGCAAAGATATCAACCCTTATTTTTGTTTAGAGAAAATGCTGGTGGGTGTTCAGAGCTTAGCTTAATTGATATACTTTGGCCAGAAGGATGTTGTTAATTCTTATTTCCCTTCACCTCCCGGGCCAAGCAGCATAATATTTAGCAAAATATGATGTGCGTCTAGTTTTACAAGCAACAGACTCCGGTCCAAATTGTACAGAGGGAACAGATGGACAGCTTCAATCACATTTTGACAATTTAAGATGATAAGTACAAAGTATCCAACACTTAAGTGTTTGCTTATATACAGAAGTCCTGATCTTAAGTACTTGTAGTAATGTCCTTTATACACTGTACTTTAAAGTGGTGGTTAAATATCGACAAAAGTCTAAATGAAGTGTGTAAACTGTGCCAAATTGGATCAATAATGTACTAAATTAGAAATTCTGTTTCAGTTCCCATGTGCCATTTCATAGCCTGTAGTACACATCGTGATTAAATATACGTTTTGAATGCGCAACTGCTTTTGCTTAATCCACCTCCATAATGTCTGTAGAATGACAATGAAATCTGAATCCACTCAGACAGGTCATAAGAAAACTCTGCACCACTTCATCACTGGTCTGCACTGTCACTGAATGGCCTTCCCTGTGGAACTTCTGAAATGACACTCAGCAACAATGCAGAAGAAGTTGACAAAATATGTTGCATGATACAAGTGATGCCAAATATTAAACTAACATTTCTGAGTGGCAAAGCACTTGTAGATTCAATTTCCCAAGAAAGAAGGCTTTACTCATTGTAAATCCTTCAAACCTGCATCTTACAAAGATACAGTGTGAAAGTGACACACAATATCCAAACAATGGTAGAAACATTCATGTAAGGATTGCAAGGATTATTTTATGTTTCTATAGCTGGGTTTGATATTTCCAAGCTTACTTAACAGACGGATTGGAGAAGCCTTTCTTGCTGCACTGACAGCAGTCACAAATCTTGAATAATTCATGACACCTACAACAGAACAAAACATTTACATGAGAAAATCACATGAAACTCATTTCATTCACAACAAATCAATACGTTGTCTAGAACTGAAGTGCGCTTTGTGTATCCAACACCCTGCCCCCAGAAGAAAACAACAAAAAAATATCATTAAAGAATAGCATTCCTAAAACATTACTGTCCATGTGTTATGGAAGGAACATCTCACAAAACCACTCCTGTGTATTTACTGTAATGTGCAGGGATTTCATGAAATCTCTGTTTAAATACTTAGGAATTATACACCTTAAATAACGGAGGTCTTCAACTTTTATCCATTGTCCCCCTTATCATCACATGTGGGTGTAAAATCAAATAACGTGGTCTGCATCCTGTACGAGCTTGCACACGAGACACTGTTCTGGATGATGTTGGAGATCCCAAAAAGCAGGCAGTGTCACACATGAATATCCCGAAACGAGACACTCAACTGGCGTTATGCTTGGGCCTGCAACATCTCAGAAGTGGACTGAGCCATATCTGTCACATCCAAGGGCTTTGCAACAACGTGTTGGGACATTTCTGCTTGAAGCACTCTCTGAAATGAATTACACTCGTTGGAGGGTAACCGTGGCATGGATGTAAGGGACCCCCTTTCATGAATTGATGGTTTCCCAACTTGTCTCCTCAAATGCCGCAGTTATCCTCCCACGTTCCAATGAATAAACTGGATACACGTTGCACACAGAAGGAATTCCTGATACCTGAAGGCGTTCCTTTGTTACCTCTTTGCTTGTGGCACGTTTAGTTGCAATACCCGCAGTGAGAAAATAGCAAATGACCTTGATAGTATTAATAAATTCACCCTATTTTTCACAGCTCCCGGGATGAGACACTCAGGAGACAACGACAATAAGTCTCACCGGTTTCAGATTTCACTGCACACACTAAGCGCACTTGTAGAAATTGCACTCACTAAATAGCTGTGCTACCTCTTGTTGCCCTGTCTGATTGCATCAAAAACTCAAAAGTATTGCTGGGCCTCTGTCTGAATTTATAAATAAAAAAAAACACTGCTCCAGTATGGTGAGCAGAGTTTTGCTACAGGAATGGCCATCCTTCAGATGAAAGAACTCAGGACCTCGGATTAACTTGGTCATTAAAGAACCCAGGTCACTGTAGAGTAAGGATGCTAACCCTGGTGTCCCAGCTAACTTCCACTCGAAATTTGACCAATTAATTGTTGAATTAAAGGTACTTTGATTTTACAGATCACTGAAGGACATGCAGATCTCTGTTCCACATTATCTCAACCTGCAAATCACCTGCTTGGAGAGCCTGATCATTGTTCTGCAGCAACTGAAATGCAAACTATTTCAAGCCGTCATGGAACTTCAGTCTCAAATTAAATAACCATCAATCTATCCATTTTCTAACCACTTTCGCGGTTGACCCGGTGGCTAAATCGGGGTACAAGGTGGACAGGACGTCAATCCATCGCAAAGAAAATCAATAACTTCTGATGTAATTATTGATACATTAAATGTCTAAAAACCTGCATTACGATTCTAGCGAAGTACGGCTTTACTGGCAACTTTACTTAACCGTCACATTGAAATGCATTAAGCACTCATTAAAGTGTGATTCGTTATTCTTTCCAGATCCAAAATACATTGGGGACCTATTACACTTCACCTTTCTAGTGTTATTAAACCGTATAAACCCGTCTTATCGGGTTTATGGACACCGGGAGGGAGATACAGATTTCCAGGGAAAGGTGCGACACCGGCATTGCACGAACTTGGCTTTTTCGCGTTCAACGTTAGTATTTTTTTAAATATTATTACTGTCCTCCAGTGGTTCGGCTGCTATAAAGCAATGGTCGTAAACAGTTTACTTAGACAAAAGGTCTAAGCAGCTCTAAAGATTAAGAGAGTGTAGTATTGCGACAGGAAATATATCGTTCAAAAGTAAAGCACAATCTCACCTAATGCCAGTCCCGTGTGCTTTCGGAAGGCTGCACTGACAACTGGGCTTGAGTGATCGTGACTGCGGCTACGTCACTGTGCAGCGCCACACTGGTTTTGGATCAGAGAGACATTATGGGCAAAGACGGGGGAGATTTATGCTATTTATGGAAGAGTAATTCCTTCGTTATTTAATGCATCGTCAGAAAATGTAATTTTTTTGCTGTTATGGGTCATTAATAAGCAATGCTTCCTTTCGGAAGTCTACTTAAAGCACAAATCGGCCTGATACCGTCACAGATTGATGTGTGTGCAAAAAAAAGTATAAGACTATAATTCGGTAACATAAAAAAATGCATGACAAAATCACATTATACTTAGCTCTCTGCGGATGTCTACAGTGCGGAAATGTTACTCGATTTGACAACGATTTGCACCCCCTTGCTGGGTGGCGGTAGCAGGGAGGGTGGGGGTCCGTACAGGGGTGTCGACATACCTCTCGGTCAGCTCTCCTCTATGGACTCTAGTTACGCCTAATGTCTGCGTCATCCAGCAAAGTGGTAGAGTTACTTCACTGCGGTTTTTAACTCATTCAAACTGTACTCTGATTCACTAAAAATAAGCCTGGTGAGTTGGTCTTCAAAAGTCTTTTAGCATATAAACTTATTTAATGTAACCCCTAACACCACATAACCTCTGTACTATGGACAAAGTGCATTTTGTGTTTTTTTTCTCACCCCCCGTTTCATTCACTTGTTGCTACCTTGTTGTGTCATGTTGAGACATCTGTATATTTGCATGTATACAGTATACCCGTTTGTTGTATTTCCCCCTTTCTGTATTTAAATAAAAAATTAAAAAACTTCACTGTGGTCAGTGGCAGATGGCAGTAACACTGTCGCGGAAATGTTTTAATTCTAAAACATTTCATGCATAACATACCATGTGTCGATGATGTAGTTGTGTGCATGAACACACTGTAACTTAATTGATTACATTACGTTGTTGGCTGCATCAGCTCAGTAAGACTATTCGAGTCAGAGATTTTTTTTTATTAGTAATCAAACTTTGGCTCTCATACCTATAATAACACTATTAAAAGTATCAATATTTTAGGTAGGTAAATATGTCAACTAGTGGATAATACTACTGTTTTCCTTAAGAATAGAACAGACCTGGCGAATGCAGTTAAAAATGGTTTCATCTGTTTCAGTATTATCTTTTAATATAAACGAATTTGAACTATTTCCCCTTGAAGAACTAGGAACAATATTGATAATATACAGTACAGTACCTGTATAGAAAGTGGTGACATACCTGGGTGTTAAAATTTGCAAAGATCAGGAAGAATTACAGATTTATCGCTGACAATTTGTTGTATTATTATCAAAAACATAGGGCATTTCTCATTTTGTTTGTGCTTCATTTTTACTAGGTTCCTAAACACATATTAGTGATGATTGTGTTACAGGTATATGTCACACTGAGGTGACCCCGCACACTAGAATTACTTCCTGCCTCATACATGACTACGCCAACTAGCAATACAAATGAGGTGCTAGACCCACTCTACTTTACTACAGGTTCTGTTCATCACCCAGAATCACCAATGCACACACAGACCAGCGAGCATTAGTATCATATAAGTCAATATTTACTATCACCCTAAGACACAAAGAGAACAGCATTTGCTGCAACAAAAGGTACTTCCAAGGGTCATAAAGGATTCCTGAGGGTCAGCTGTCCTTTTAGGTGACAAAGAGAGGGTGTTACAAATTCTTGGTGGTTCAGAGAATAATAATAATTGCTTACATTTATATAGTGTTTTTTCTAGAAACTTCACTCAAAGCACTTTACAGGTAATGGGGACTCCCCCCCATCACCACCAATGTGTAGCACCACCTGGATGATGCGACAGCAGCCATAGTGCGCCAGAACATTCACCACACATCAGCTATCAGTGGGGAGGAGAAGAGAGTGATGAAGCCAATTTATCGATGGAGATTATTAGGAGGCCATGATTGGTAAAGGCCAAAGGGACATTTGGCCAGGACGCTGGGGTTACACCCCTACTCTTTTCGAGAAACACCCTGGGATATTTAATGACCACAGAGAGTCAGGACCTCGGTTTTACATCGCATCAGAAGGGCGGCGTCTTTTTACAGTATAGTGTCCCCGTCACTGTACTGGGGCATCAGGACCCACATGGACCGCAGGGTGTGCGCCCCCTGCTGGCGCCACTAACACCTCTTCCAGCAGCAACCTTAGTTGAACAGCAATGCAGAGACGAGGGATGCAACGCACTCCAATTTCCTCAGTCTCCGTTTGGGCTATATCAGGAGTCCTCCTTTAGGCTGCTCTACGTTCCCCTTGGTTCAGAATCGACTCACCAAGCCGGTTACTTTTCTCCATGCCACCAAGTATTAAATGTCCCTGCGCAGTATCTCCTTCCTCTCCCTTGGTCTGCAGCTCCTGGGCCAATCTCCTCTGTGGTCTCACAGGCTGCGGCCTTCCCTGCGCTGCCTGTCTTGCGTCAAGGGGCTCATCGGGAGGAGTGATCTACCTCTGTTCAGGTTCAGATCTTTTTATCCCTTCCATAAAACCCCCTCAGGGGTTTTCCCATTGATTCTGTCAGTGGCAGGTGTGCCCAAGAGATTACAGATACTGCAATGCTCTACTCGCTGGGGTATCTAAATCTACTCTGAACAAACTGCAGTATGTCCAAAATTCAGCAGCCAGAATCCTGACCAGGTCTAGTGCAAGTGTCACATTACTCCTATCCTGGAGTCCTTGCACTGGCTTCCGGTCCAATTCTGCGTAGACTTTAAAATCCTCATACTCACCTATAAGGCTCTACATGGCTTGGCACCTCAATACCTGTCTGAACTATTATCGCCCTACTCCCCACCTCGCAACCTTCGCTCTTCAAATTCTGCCCTCCTCACTGTCCCCCAAGCCTGTCTACATTGTATGGGCGACAGGGCCTTCTCCTGCTATGCCCTCAAGCTCTGGAACTCTTTGCCCAAGGATATCAGAGAGTCACCTTCTCTAAACTCCTTCAAATCCAGACTCCAAACCTTCTTCTTCAGAAGAGCCTTTACTTAACTGGTTCCATTCTTCACCCCTCTGCTTTTCTTAGTATCACCTTCCACGGTCTCCTCTATTGTTATTGTTGTATTGCTGTAATTGTAATTGTGTCTTATCTTGTGTATTCTTCTTATTTATTGTTGTAGTCTTCTTATTTATTGTTATTGTCATCCTGTAAAGTGCTTTGAGAAGCCACCTTTAAAGGCGCTATATAAAATAAAGTTTATTATTATTATATATTATTACCAGGAGGAAGCTTGGGTTATTTTGAGAACTGGCAGTCCCAGGAGTCATGGGCACTTATCCCTTATTTGTTTGCTTTACTGCTCCCCTCCTCTGCCCAAGGTCTGGTTCAAATTGGCTGAGCAACTCCTCACTCCCTCAAGCGTCAGTACCTAATGGCTTCCTGGCTGGATGACCTGGGTGTAACAATTGTTACAAATTGTTCCCTGCCCCACCTGAAGTTGAAAACGTATATTCAGACTGGTTCTGCGGATAGACTTGGAAAACGTTAGCTTTAAGTATGTCAATGTGAATGTTAGATTTAAGGGGTTTGATATTATATTTTGCAAGATGTAATTAATCTGTTACTAATAATAGGGAGATATCACATCCACAGTCGTCCGTTTCTACTCCCTCTTTCAGTGTCTATAAGGCAGAACTTCAATACTGTTTAAACTCCATCAAAAACTTGAAAAAATATTTCTAATGCACATTTTCTAACGCCGGCATCCAAACATAAGCCAATGGGACTCCGCCTGCAGATACAGGACATCCTGTACTGCGGTGTCGCTCTCTTTCTCCTTGACAGCTGCTCCACCAGTTATATCGGAACACTATCTGCGCAGGCTGTGACGTCAGAAGAGCGACGCGAACGGCGGCGCAGTATCTCGCTGTGTTTTGTGTAACCTAGTTATTTATAGACAGCAGGCTGCAAAGTGCCTATCTTTTTCAGTTTGGGGAATTTAAAGTTGTTACCCTGAGTACTTTAATATTTAAAAAAATCGCAAAATAAATGAGAAATTCTATTTTCAGACAGTTTCATTAGGATTGTAATTCATTAGGACTGACCCAGTTAAAAGGATGGTGCAAGTTTAATTATATTTAATAAAACTTTAATATATTACAAGTCACATTTATGCTTGTAATCGGCTTTGAGAGCATGACCTTTGCAAGCACCGCCTACCGCCTCAAGCAGTAGCGCTGCTTGCTGGTTTCAGAACTGAGTCTCTCGCAGGAATGTAACAGGAGAAAAAACAAAACATTTTCATGATCATTTGGAGGTTTTAAAGCAGTACGCGATAGACGCCAATGGGGAAGAAGAAAGACATGATCCAAGAAAAGTTTCTTTCGGGTAAGGAACATTTCTTATCTCTTCACCTGAACTGGTTGTGTACAAAGATTTAAGGCACAATTTTGTCGGAAAAGGCCCGTTTTCCAGTCGAGAGGCTCAACTGACGGTTGCGGGCTGAAATTTAAACGCTGTTCTCTGAGATGGTGTTTTATATCTGATCGCTTCCGTTACTTTTAAGCTTCTCATGGTATAGGCTACATTGTAGCCGGAAAATAACCATGTAACGTTTAAGGGTTATAGAAAAGGCTATACCCTCCACTGGCCAGTTTTTGCAATGAGGGGAAAGAAGATTTTTATAGGACTACAGTAATTTTAACCAAAATAGTGTAGGATAATAATAGGTAAACTTAACAAAAGCAGATTTGCAATTACAGCAGTCCTATAGTTTCGATTTTTAGGTGGTGCTCTGAAGAGATTCTTTGTAACGTTATAACTCAAATAGTGAGAGTGACGCTGTTTCCGAGTCCATCGTCTGCACAGGGCTGATTTTCAATTCAGTTTATTTTCATATAGCGCCTTTTAAAACAGATTTGCCCCCATGCACTTAAAAAAGCTGTGTGACAATACATGACGTTACAATACAGAAAGTGAAAAAGCCAGAAGACAACGGAGGAGAGGAAACAAAAGTGATTTTCGGCAAGTTATCGATAAAATAGTCCATGCTATTGGTTTTGTTGTCACACGTTTAATAGGGTGTCACTGATTGATAATTGCAACTTCTTGTCACGTTAGCAAGTTGCAGAATAATTTGCGAAAAATGAACCGGAGAATACATGTAGAAAGTACGAGGAAGTGCACTTTTAAAGGACAACAGGGAGCACTTTATCCGAAGGGTTGTGGGAGTTTGGAACAGCTGATATCCTGGCTTCGTTCAAGAAACGGCTGGATGAGATCCTCTGATCAATTAGCTATTACTGAATGTGGGGAAAAGTGCTCATTATCTACTAGTGCAGTGTAGTAGCCATGTGCTCTGCTCCTGCAACCCACTGTAGAGCACATCAAGTAGAGAAGTGGGTAGCTGTAAGGGGTAAGGTTCAGAAAGGCCAGGTTATACAATGTCAGAGTGGATGTTTGCCGGAAATCCAGGGTTAACACTCCTGCTCTTGCAAACCTGTCTCATCCTGTAGTGTTGTGTCTGGTGTCACTCCAACCTCAGGTCCACCAACACCACTTAAAGCAGCAACTTGGTGTTCCTTAGAGATCTTCCATCTAAGTACTGAACAAACCTGCTTAGATTCTGAGATCTGGCAAGATCTGGTTACAAGGTAATAATGCCATTGCTGTTATTGGTTAAGAACATTAATAACCGTGTTACTGCTTTGAAGGCTGATGCAGTTGGATCAGAAAAAAAGGTTAGCTTAAATGATAAAACCTGAACTGCTATGCAAAGCGATTGTTGTTTAAGTCTGTGAAGCATAGTCAACATTTATTGGGTTTTTTTACAGTAGTGATCTGAAAAGTACACGGTCTCATTACTTGAACTCAAACATTTGCTCCCGCACCAGCTGAAGAAAGCTGAATGAGTTACGTCGTTTTCTGCCTTGTGTTCTCAGGAGATGGAGATGAAGGTGGGGGTCACAATGCCCACAAAAAGAAACACAAAAAGCACAAGAAGCACAAGAAGAAGCACCACCAGGAGGAGGGGGGGCACAGCTTCTCCTCAGAGGCGCTGGAGTCCGACTCGGGAGTCGTCAAACCCCAGCTCAAGTTAAAGATCAAGCTGGGAGGACAGACGCTGGGAACCAAGAGGTAGCAAAGTCTTCATTCAGCCAGCTTAGTTCTAGACAGCATTCACACACCTTCACCTAGACTTCTTAATTTGAAACTAATCAATTGCAATCTCTGGGTTGCGCATTCAGCTTTATTGCATATCTTTATGCGAGGCAGGATACACCCTGGATGGGACACCAGTCCATCACAGGGCGCACACACACTGACACAAACGCATTCACACTAGGACCAGATAACAACAGACAATTAACTTCCCAGGACATTCTGTAGTCAGAAACCCACATGAACACGAGGAGACCTTACAAATTGCAATTGATTACTGCAATTTCCCTCACGGGATCAATAAAGTATCTATCTATCAAACGCCACACAGATAGCATCCCAGGTCCACAATTGAATCCCATAATGTTAACCACTGCGCCACCATGCCACCCTTTTATTACATATTTTTTAGTTAAATCACCTTAAATCTTAAATCGTGTCGCTTACTAAATTGGATGCTGTTATCTTAGAAGACATTATTAGTTAAGTACAGTTGAAGAGGTAATATACATAAGTCAGTGAAGAATTAGTGAATTACATTATTCGAGATAAAAGTGCTGGAAGTGGCTAGTCTTCACTACAGTCAGTACAGATGTTTCTCTCACATATCTTGTCCAGAATGTTTTCCCTGACTCAGTTTTTAGTGATCTCTAAAAATAAAAGCTAATAATACTTTCATGTCATGCTTTTCTGGAAGCACCGTTGTCTAATTATCCAAACAGTATTTTATTATAATCATTAATTCACTAATCAAGTCATTCACTAATGTTACATTTTTATTGCAGATTTGTCATCTGGATAATGTACAGACATGTTTTTGTCTTGTGTGTGTAATCAATTCCAAAGCAAAACATCTCAACTTTCCTGGGTAAAAATGTTGTATTTGAATGTGATTTAAATGTACATTTTTCAAGTATATCAAGCCGTTTGTTTTCTGCGTTTCGCATTGGTATCATGTATAAAACTACAACTCCCGTTTTCTAGTCAATATCTTCCGTGTTTTGTGTGTGAGCAGTGTTCCAACCTTCACTGTGGTGCCTGAGGAGAATCGGTCTCCGTCTCCTCTGATGATAGTGGATGACGACGAGGAGCCCACAGAGGGGGTCCCCATTGAGCAGTATAGGGCTTGGCTTGGTAAGGATTTGAACTGTTAAGTTTCATTACACAAAAGGGCTCATCATTAAAATCATGCTTCGATTTATTTAATAAATTTGGGTGACTTCATCGTATTGAGACACAGTATAGAATTGTTTAACCATACCTGAGCTCTTAAACATTCCAGCTACTTTATTTCTGATAAAAAATATAGTATCAGTCTTTGTATGTATGTTGTCTTTACAGTATTTCCTTTTCCATACATGTACTTTGAACATGGCAGCGAGTTGGAAAGATAGTTTAAAACCCCAATCAATGTACATTGCAGTTCACTTAGGTAGCTTAATGGCTATCAGTCCTGTAAATAACAAAGATGGGTTGAACCTTTTGGATAGGTGGACTGGGCTTTGTTTTGGACCCCACCTAACTTGTACCTTGTCTTGCTTTGAGGACAGATGAGGACAGTAACCTGGACCCCTCTCCCCTGCCCGATATGGACTCCGAGTCCCTGCTGGGGGGCCCCGAGGATGAGGAGGAGAAGTGGCTGGATGCCCTGGAGAAAGGAGAGCTGGACGACAACGGAGAGCTGAAGAAGGAGATCGACGAGTCTCTGCTCACAGCCAGACAGGTAAGGGAAATCTGGTAGGGAGTGTGGACTGAGGGCTCAGTTCTGTTTCTCCACGTGAGAGCTTGTCCACACAACACTGACTCACCTGGACCAAGAATTAGACGTTCTGGGAATCAAGTGGCTTCTTAAAGATTGTGTTTTTTCTGTGTACACATTTCATATGTGTATTGTTTTTGGGTGGGGTGGGGGGACAGAATGTCCTCTTACAGGGGAAAGACTTTGGTTTCATTATGGAGTTAACTCTTCTGGGTTTTTTGGAGTGCTAATTATCCTCTCAGTGGTAACGTGGCATTCTGTTGTGTTTAAGCGACATGTACCATCGCTCAACGCACATATTTCAAGAACAGAATAAAGGGCTGGGAACGTGTGATGAAGTCATTATGTCAGTCTTTATCTCTGGTGGCTATTGGTAAATTGAATCTTCAAACTGCATTGCTTTGGGTAGGCTATATAGCAGACTTGCAAACAGACATGAGAAGCTCAGAGTATGATCTGCATATAGGCTCTATAAATATACTGTGCACAAAGTTGTTACAGACACACCACTGTAAATTGCCAGACATGTTTTCACAAAGCACTAAGAGTTATGGCCATTCATAAGTATGTTTTTTGTGTCTTTACAGTCAAGAGTTGAAAGTGAGCTTTTCACCTGTACATGTTCAGTTTGAGCATTCATGTTTTGATTAAAAATATTCACTTCACATGTATATCATACAGTATATGGATACGTACTATATGTAGATATAAAATACATAATTGAAAGGGGATGAATGCTTCACTATTTTTGTATAACATTTTCATTGCAAGCAAGAAAATCAAGCATTTTTTAAATCAGAACAGTCAATCACCTTGGCCACCACTACTCTTTAATGTCTGTGATAAGCAAAATTAACGTTATGTATATGTTCTTTTGAGATCTGTTTATGAATTTACCACTAGATTTATTTTTAAATGACACTCATGACAGAAATTAGAAAACGTTTTGGAAATGTACACGTTCAGAATGTACATTTCTTAAAGGCACCGGAGACTGCTCACCTGGCTGTGTGCATTCTTTTCCGGTCTCTAGAGGGCGCTGTTGCACAAGCAGCAGAGCCAGCCCCTGCTGGAGTTGCCCATGGGCTACAAGGCGAAGGAGATGACGGAGGAGATGATGCAGAAGAGGGAGGAACGGGCCCGGAAAAGGCGCCTGCAAGCTGCCAAGAAGGCGGAGGAAAACAAAAACCAAACTATCGAGAGACTGACCAAAACCAGCAAAGCCAAAATCAAGACCATGAGGGAGAAGAAGTCCAAGCAGTCCCAGGTCCCCATGATCCGCTACACTGACTCTTTCCAGGGGACGATGATCTCCTTCCCCCAGGGGGTGCCCACTCCAGTGGTCACAAGCCCGTGCCCCACCCCTGTAGCAGTGCACTGCGGGGTCACCGGATGCTCAAACCTTAAAAAATACTCCTGCTCAAAGACCGGGACGCCCCTCTGCAGTCTTGAATGTTACAAGAAGAACCTGCTTGTTCAGCCTGTTGCTTGACTGCTCCGTCAGAGGGAGGCAAGAGAGTTTAACTGTGCTAGTTTAAAGGCAGTGGCATTAAAAGCTCAACAAGAACTTATCCTGTGCATCTCTCTCTCTCGATCAGGGATGGTAGCTTCGGTTCAAGCATAATTTATTGTAATGTTTCCGTCATAGGTTATTGTCTGTAGTAGAACTGGAAATGCAATCATGGAAGTGTATGAAGAATGGGGGAACAAAAAGTGTAAATCATTGCAAATGTAAAGAAAAAATGTATTTATTTAGTGTCATAAAGAATATCGCATGTGGTGTAGATTTCTGTGAACTGGAATACCAAACTTATTTTTGTACATAATAAGATAGACGTTTCTCAAAAGATACTGTTTGAGTTTTGTTTTTGTTACCAATAATTTCCAAATGCAAACACCACAAATGTGTTGTCTTTACACCCGAGAGTGTTAACGGGGACATCTTGAAGTCAGATTGTGTCAAATGGTATAGTGACCATATCCACTTATAGAAAAAGCAGTCTGATAACTTTTTTTTGTTGTGACCATACAAACTATAATGGGAAATGCATCCTGTGAGACAAAATCATATTGTCACAAGAAAGTTGTTATTTCTTGATGAATAAAAGATAGATAAATGGACCTGCAGTTTAACTGAATGAACTTACAGTATATTATAGTTATGCTGGATAAGAAGTACTCCATAGTACCAACCATTGAACAAACCTATATTACAGCACCTAACCAAACAGCATTTATATCTTGTTCTGTCCAGGTTTCGTCAGATTGTCAGAAATGCGGAGTACACTGAAAATTAAGCAAAACATTAATTACCTTCATTCTTGAACTTTGTTGATTAGAAATGTTAATTACAGGGGAAGAAATGCTTTTGCAAAAATGGCTTTTAATTAACAGTGATGAGGTACATGAGGTACAAACAGCAACATTTCAAAAAAGGGAAACATTTCTCTCAAAATAGTGTTTAAATAGCATATAAAAGGGCTTTCTTCAACATAAAATTCAAAGTAGTTAATTTTAAGAGGCTTCATTGACCACATGATACAATACATCATAAAATACAACAGCATCTATGTTTTGGTACAAAAGGGAGAAGATGTCTTAAAACATCTGGTCAATGACAGAATGGGTTCACGTACAGAACATAGTTTGAGGAAGTGGCCTCATTTGCTCTGAATACTTTTCTGCACACCACGCCATACTCCTAAATAAAGATAAGGTAAAACAGAGACATTTTATGTCTCTATTGGATAGGCTTTTTTATATCAAGACATGATATAAAAATATAATAAATATAAGGATAAGCACAATAATTTTTCTGGAACTATAAGACAGCCTGTCTGTAAAACAAAGGTTGAAGGGCTTTAGCAATTTTAATACAGTAGACCCTGAAATTACAGTATGTAGAGACACAGAGCTGTCAAAAGGTTAGGTGTGAGTCTCAAACCAACACCTGAAATCAGGGATCAAACCTACTACACTTGAATCTTCACATTGATTAATCAATAAGTTCAAAAGTGTTTTTCTAGCAGCAAGAACTCCCTTGTACTGATTGATGGCAGCCTGACTGCACAGGGGTACACTGATCAAGTCCTGCGGGCACATCCTGCAGAATCCCGATTGCAACAGAACGAACACACATCCTCGTGCTGCTCTTGTAACTCCAGCGTTCTTGCAAGATAATGACAACCCAGCCAGATACCAACTAGTTTGCAGAATAGTTTTCTGGAACTGCAACGTATGGTGTGTATAAAAAAAAACAGTTCGAGGGCTTGTAAACAAGGTCTCTTCCTCACGAGGCTAGACCAAAAGAGAGCCGGAATGCCATCTCCACTGGGACCTCAGCCACAGAGTCATGAAAGCACACGTAGAATTCTTGAGGAGTAGGCTCGAGAAGCATCCTTCTGCGGCACAAAAAAAGTAACAAGAAACCAAGAGGATGAGTCCAAGACTGAACACATTTTTCGCAGTGTTTGCAGATCACAAATATGTTGCACTGAATACTTTGCATGGAGCTGTTAGTTTAAAACAAGGGGGGGATTGCCTAGCTCTTCATCTGTTTCTGAAAGAATAATACTACGTGCCAGCAGCCTAACTGAATCACAAAGTGTTTATCATTTCAACTCTGTCTGGGTTCTCAAAAGCCTCTCTGTGAAAGCTCTCGTACTGAGCTGATTAATCACTTCACAGCTGCTGTCTTTGAAAAACAGAAGAGAGTACTGACAGGAGATCCTTCTGCAGAATGGGGAGATAGAGGCATGTGACAGTCCATTCATCAATGATCTCTCCTGTGCCGAACGCTGCGTACCCTATAACCCAGTAGGTCATGCTAGGAGGAGGCTTCCTCTGGTCGGTCCAGTTCTCGGGCTTGCACTGGAACAGAACCCCGTGCTCCTTCACTGACCCAAAACCACGTACGTTCTGAAGCTCATCCGCAGCCTTCCTGTCCTGGAGGGATGGAGGTGAACATCAGTGGAGAAGCTGGTACTTTTCACAGCACTATCACAGGCATCAGTACCATCCCATACTAGACTGATGGTAAAAAAACAACTCTAAAGGACCAGCTTGTTTGTTCAGTAGCACCTGATAAAGAGGAAAATTCACTCATGCCAGACTGTTTTACCATCTGTGCTGTGGACACCCGAAGAAGGCTCCACAGCCGAAACATCGTGTTTTCTTTCTTGTCTTTTAAGCATGGAATAAACCTATTACTTGTTCATTTACAGCCTACTCATGCTGACGCAGCTACCCACCTGAATTGTTTTAATATCTGTTTAATCTCAGGATCTCTACCTCCTGGATAGGTGTCCTGTATGGCAGGGGTCTCCAAACCTGGAACTCAAGAGTCCCAGTCCAGAAAATATTTATAGGTAGTCTTGAAATAATCAATTTCTAATGATCAGAACAATTTAATCATGATCAATTGCACAGGTGGTGTGTTCAGCAAGTCATTTAGAGATCACTGGGAACAAAAAATGGAATATCCTCCAGACCTCAATAACCAGAGTCACATTCATTAAACAAATTCTTGCTAAACAGACAGTAACTTAAACATAACCCAAAGGTATTTATAACCTTTAAACAAAAAATACTTAGGTTGTCCCATAAGACTAACTGAATGGGATACTTCAGAACCGGGGTTAGGGAGGTCTTACTATATTGAATAATATAGTCAGGTTTCAGTAATTGCTGAAATGTGATACAAAAAAGTATTTTCCTATAAAGTACAATCCCTAGAAATAATGAGGAAACATTTTGCTTGAAACAGGTAACAGACAGATTGAGGGCGTGGCGCAGCGCGTCCTGACAGTTTAAAAACACGCGGCGTCGGGCTCTCACCTCTGACAGGAGGCTCCGCTGGAACACGGCTCGGATGGACAGGCAGCACCGGTGGAAGTTCCTGATGAGCTGTGGGTGGATGGAGCCACTCAGCTGCGCCACCTCCCTGTGGGTGGGGGAGATGAAGATTCCCTGAACCGTCTCCATGCACACATAGTGGAACAGCGTGTTTTCGGCACCAGAGGTCAGCCTGCAGCGGGGAACAGTCAGATCAAAAACAGCCCACAGAAAGCAGATTTAACCATTACGCACTGAATTCCCACAATTTCTGTTCTGACTATAGTAATTAAAAATCAGGGTTAACCTGTTTAAAACTAAATTAGCTTTGACATTCTCTTCTACGGAATCCGAAATTCCTTGTAATAATGAAGTTATACCTTAGACCCCCGGCCTCGTCATAATGTAACACTTTAAAACTCACAAAAACACACATACAGTACATCACCTAACAAAAAAAAATGCATTTACAAATAAAATCAAATGTCTGAAGACTGCTTTTCACATTACAACTACACTTAAACTTTAATTAACACATTCTGTTTAAAATCCGTTTAAAATGCTTTTGATTTTTAGCGGCAAAGTTGCGATATAAACATTTTCAAACATTTTATAATGTGAATTCATTTCTATGCTGAAAAGAGAAGAGATGTGACGTTTCCTCAGGGGTCACCTGAAGAAGGCTCCACAGCCGAAAAGTTGTGCCTCTTTTCATTTCAGCTTGGAATAAACCTTTTCTTGTTCCTATTACTCATTTTTTGCAGAGGAGAGCACACTCACTTCAGTGTGTTATACATTTCCTCGGTCTCTCTTTCATTAAGGCTTTTTTTCAGCGTCCCCAGGTAGAAAGGATTAGGGTGCTTCTTCTTGGTGATCTACAGTAATGCAACACAGAAGCAAATACAATCAAGCCAATATAGTTATCCATTAGTCTACCCATTCATCTGTGCACCACAGGTTATCATTACGGTATGGCTATTGTTTATGATGGACAAGGAAGACTGAGGAAGGAGTGGCTCATAAAATGGCACTTTGTAGTCTTGTCAAATAGCAAGCTGGTAAAGAAGGAGAAGTACAGCAACATGTCTGACAGTAGTAGGGGTTAGCAGCCAGAACTGGTAGGTGCAAAAATAAAAATCTTGTGACAAATATTAAGACTAACAATGGCAAAGAATAAGTGACTAAGAGTCACTAAGTGACAATGGCAAAAAAATGAAGCTGACATATTAGTTGCCGAGGTGTTAATACGTTATTGAAGCACTACAAATGGAGGGCTCGTGTTTTTGGGAAGGGGGTGTTACCCTGAACAGGGACCCGCTGCCTGCACTGCCGTCGGAGCCCCCAGATCCCTGCGAGTCCCTGCGCCCCAGCTTCCTCGTGGAGTCGGGCGTGGAGTGGGGGCTCGGGCCCGGGTTGAAGGACAGGTTGTCGAGCGGGCCCTCGCTGCCGCTGTCCGAAAGACTCCTCTGCGGGCTGGGCCGGCGAGTCCTCAGCGCCGGCTCCCCGAACAGCACCCTCCGGCCGGTGGGCGAGGTGGCCTTCGAGGAGCCGGGCAGTTTGCCGAAGACCGGGGAGCTGGTGATGCTGTCCAGTCTCTCCCGGCCGGAGGGGAGGAACCAGTCGGCACAGGACAGGCAGGGCATGGGGGGGGCTGCCAGCCTCTCCTCGATGCTCCTGTCCAAGCCCTCCAGCTGGAGCAGGGTGGCTTTCACCTGATCCACGTAGATGCAGTCCGGTCCCGGGTTCCCCAGGGCTGCAGACGCACACCCTCCTGCCTCTAGCAGCACGCACTGCATGAAGTGTCTCTGAAGCCAGACAGACACGGGAGAAGAGCCCATGAGATCAGCACAGCTTCGTACACACAGCACTCCCCTCCAAACCACTCCCGGCGCATGTATGAAACTGTACGTAGTTTCAAATTCAGTGGATCCGATAGTGCTTTCTTCGGCTTGTCCCTTTGGTTGCTTCACCAAAACAAATTCGTTCAAACTCAAGGTGGAGTCGCATCAGGCTAGAGCTTATCACAATTTCTATAGTGTTCAGCTTTCAGAAATAATGGCAACAGCCCCTAGACAGAATGCTAGCCCATCACAAAGTAACTCTCATCAATACAGTACTGGTACTCAGGTATAGTACACAAATGGGTGGACTAGAACAATTCAGGACAAGCAGCTGTGTCTGCAGCTGCACCTGAACCCCAAAACCTTCCAGTTAGGAGACCAGAGCTCTTAACAGCGCTAATCTATACTGTCCCCCACATATCCTCTAAGTTTGGTCCTTCTATGATAGGGACAAACTTCTACTAGGATTAAACTGGCAGCATCACAGCTTTTGGACAACAAGTCAGAGATCCACAAGATCTACAAGATTTACAAGCCCAAAAAAAGAATAAAGTCAAAGCTATCAAACATATCAAACTATGACACTACATTAACATTTATATTACATGAACAGCAGCTGGGTGTTAGATTGTCTGGGTCGTAAAAAAGAAACATTTCCCTCTTTTTGGCCTTAATGCATGCACATGCTGTTCAGAAATGAAAGGAATGATAACACCTTGGGCTTCACACTAGGTTCACTCTGAGTCCAGTCAGACTGCCTCCAGTGCAACACAATGTTCTGCACTTTGCTTTGACAGCAGTCAGAGGGTGATCAACCACAAGCACCACCATATAAAAGGGAAAGCAGGAAGTCACCAGGCTTGGGATTAGTTTAACAGGAATGTGCGCTATTCAGACAGCAAGAATAGAAACAGCAGGGGACGGTAACATAAAGAATGAGGAATATTTAGAATATCTACCAAAACAGATCACTATGTTTCATTTTGAGTGTTTTCTCCGCCGTTTTGGATTTTCTTCAGCACAATGTAAAGTTACATGGAAACAAAGATGTGCATTACACCTTTCCCCATACACTGGGATATTTTCTCACGCAACGTGATCCTTTTGAGGAATATTGCCAGATTTCTTTAACACTGGGGGGAGGGGGAGAGAAAGTGTTTACCAGCCCGACAATGAGCAGAAAGCAGCGCCCGTCTGGCTCGCTGTATCCTGGGGCGGCCGGTTCCGCGCTGGGCTGAGACTGGCGTTGAGGAAAGACCTCCCTCCAGATCACCAGCTGCCCGATCCTCTGCTCTGTGGCCAGGGGCAGCAGGCAGTAGTGGTGACAATAAAGTGCAATGTCCAGCAGGTCCTCCTTTGGCAAATGGTTTCCGATCAAATAGCCCTGCAAAACAAAACAAACAAAAAACAAAACGAAGAAGGACCTTAATGCATGAAACAAAACAGCCCTCTGGATGCACTGTAGAATCACAGCCAAGCTCTTTGTATTCTCCCCCTGAGTTAATTCCTATGGAATTGGAAACCATCAATAAGAAATCACTGCCACTCTGGTGAGTTACTCCTGGTAAGTTACTCTACAGTCCTGGTAAGAGACTGCACGCCTTTCCAGTCTATGAAGACATTAAACGTCTTTTGTGTACCACTTAATGAAATGTCGGCTTATACCTGATTTGTGTACAGCGCATCTCTAAAATCTACAAGCAAAGCGAAAATGTTTTATATATATAAGTGCTAAAAGGTCTTGTCATAAAGTGGTGCCTGGGCAGAGAGACGATGATAAAGAAAGTGGTTGTACTGGAAGACAAGTCAAATCTTTTATCTGAAGCACAGACATTCCCTCAGCTAAAAAAGAGAGGAGACCTTCATTTCCAGCACTGGTAAGAACGTCCAAATGAGTACTTTGTTTAGGTGATACAGAAATCCCCCGGCTTAATAAATATTTGAATCAAAGTTGCTCAGCTATGATCTGCAATTAGAGCTACTGTAGACCCCAGAGATGCATGGAATACAATTTCAATGTAATTGCATCCATGACAGGACTAAAAAAAAAAGAAGCTGGATACTATCTGTTACCTACTGGAAGCTCAGTGTTCACACTTTTAGACCAGGGACAAGCCTCACCTTGTAAAACAAGCACGAGCCCAGAATCACATAAAGCCGTCTCATGTCATAGTAATCTTCAGACTGAAGATAAAGGGAGGACAAAAGAGTTAACACACAGCCATTCACATGATTGAACAGCACAAGCTTAGACTTTACAGGAACGGGTTTCTGCTAAAGGAGATGGCTTGACTGGTTAATTATCTGTAAGGAGTGACAACCTAAATAATTTAGCTGAGGCACTCAGAGAGCTACCTGAGAAGGACCTATCCCTTTCTTCTTTGTCACCTTGAAAATTAGCTATCTTTTTGTAAAAAGCATTACTCCAATTGTTATGCTAAATTGGGCTGTTCAGAGAATTGCACACTGCAACCTACTTCACATGTGAGAGAGATGGTTTCATAAAGAGCCTTATAAAATACATTTATAAGGTACTCGTTGACATATTTCTTTGAAAATTATTTAATCACTG